TACACACAGTACTATACGGCACTACACAATGCTACACACAGTACTATACGGCACTACACAATGCTACACACAGTACTATACGGTACTACACACTGCTACACACAGTACTATACGGCACTACACACTGCTACACACAGTACTAAACGGCACTACACAATGCTACACAAAGTCCTATACGGCACTACACAATGCTACACAAAGTACTATATGGCACTACACACTGCTACACACAGTACTATATGGCACTACACACTGCTACACACAGTACTATATGGCACTACACACTGCTACACACAGTACTATACGGCACTACACAATGCTACACACAGTACTATACAGCACTACACACTGCTACACACAGTACTAAACGGCACTACACACTACTACACACAGTACTATACGGCACTACACACAGTAGTATACAGCAGTACACACTGTTAAACACGGTACTATATGGTACTACACACTGCTAAATACAGCACTATACTGCACTATGCACTGGTACACAAATAAGTACACACAGCAGTTAGTAGTTAGACCTCCCTGATGTAACCAAGACTGTTACTATAGCAACATGTACTGTAAGTGATTGAACGCAGACAGTACCACACAGCAATACACAAGGTGCCATACACTGTACTACTCATGGTACTAAATTGTATTACACAGCACTACACACTCTACTACCAATGCTACTACACATTCTGTGCATACATATATACATACATACTTTTTACTCTGCTACTGGGTACTACAGAGCAATGTATGTACTGACGTTAGCAGATCCAGGAACCCCTGAGGGGGGACCAGAACCAGAACCAGGGTCCACTGAGGGGGGGAAAGAACCAGAACCAGGGTCCACTGAGGGGGGGGACAGAACCAGAACCAGGGTCCACTGAGGGGGGGACAGAACCAGGGTCCACTGAGGGGAGAACAGAACCAGAACCAGGGTCTACTGAGTGGGGAACATAACCAGAACCAGGGTCCACTGAGGGGGGAGCAGAGCCAGAACCAGAACCAGGGTCCACTGAGTGGAGAACAGAACCAGAACCAGGGTCTACTGAGTGGGGAACATAACCAGAACCAGGGTCCACTGAGGGGGGGGCAGAGCCAGAACCAGAACCACGGTGCACTGAGGGGGGAGCAGAACCAGAACCAGGGTCCACTGAGTGGAGAACAGAACCAGAACCAGGGTCTACTGAGTGGGGAACAGAACCAGAACCAGGGTCCACTGAGTGGAGAACAGAACCAGAACCAGGGTCTACTGAGTGGGGAACAGAACCAGAACCAGGGTCTACTGAGTGGGGAACAGAACCAGAACCAGGGTCCACTGAGTGGAGAACAGAACCAGAACCAGGGTCTACTGACTGGGGAACAGAACCAGAACCAGGGTCCACTGAGGGGGGAGCAGAGCC